CAGGTGTGCCACTCACCGGGGGGAAGTCGCTGAGTTTCTGGAAGGCGCGGATGTACAGCTCGTGCTGGGGGGGGAGGGGAAACATCAGAAAATTCCGGGAATTTTTGGGAATTTTTTGGGAATTTGGGGATTTCCTGTGACTTTTGGGAATTTCGAGACTTGGGAATTTTAGAGGAAATTTTGGGAATTTTTGGGATTTCAGGAATTTTGGGGATTTCGAGAATTCTTCCATTCCTGGGAATTCCCTGGGAAATTTTGGGGGTAATTTTGGGAATATTCTGGATTTTTTCTTGGATTTCTTTGGATTATTTTCAGATTTTGTTTTGTTTTTTAATTTTTGGGGATTTGGGGATTCCCTTAAAATTCCCAGGATTTTTTTTGGAATTTTTTGGGAATATTTTGTGAATATTTTGGGATCATTTTCAGTTCATTTTGGGAGTATTTTCAAATTTTTTTTGTCATTTTTTGGGATTTTTTGGCGGAATTTTTTTACATTTTGGGAACGTCGGGAACGTTGGGAATTCCCAACAATTTTTGGGAATATTTGGGGATTATTTTGGGATAATTTCCAGGTAATTTTGGAATTTTTTTTTCTAGTTTTTTGGACGTTTTTCAAAAATTTTTTTCAATTTTTTGGGAATTCTTGGGGGGATTTTTTTGGGGATTTTTTTTAGGAATTCCCAATAATTTTTTGGGGTGATTTTGGGGTGGTTTTGGGGCTCACCACGTGCAGGATGGTGGGGTTGCAGCCGATGATGAAGGGAAGGTTCCGGAAGCCCTGGATGCGGTGGGCGATGCGCACGGGCAGCTCCTGCTGCAGGTACCGGGCACTTTTCTGGGCAAAAAACCCCAAATTTTGGACAAATCCCGAAGTTTTATCTCCCTCACAAACCCCTCAGGGATTTCTGGCATTTTGGGAATTTTCACACCCAATTTTTGGGGAGTTCTGCCCAACCAAAGCAAAAAAATTCCCCCAAAATTTTGAATTTTCACCCCAAATTTTCGAGGTTTCGAGCCAAATTTTTGATATTGTGCCCCCCAGATTTTTTCTTTTTTACCCCAAATTTTTGGGTTTCTCCCCAAAATTTTGGAGGTTTTACCCAAATGTTGAAATTTCCCCTCAAGTTTTGGAGATTTTATCCCAAATTTTGGGATCCCCAACTCTTTGTTCTTCCTCAAACCCCTCCCAAAATTCAAGACATGCCCCCAAATTTTGGGGACTCCCCCAATGCCAGGAACCTCCCCAAAATTTTGGGGAACCCCCTCTTCTTTTACCCCACATTTTGGGGACCCCTCCTCCCATTCCCCCCCCCTAAAATTTTGGCCTCCCCCAAGCCCTTTCATGCCCCCAAAACTGAGAAAATTCCCCCAAATTTTAGGACCCTTCCCAAATTTTGGGGACCCCCCCAATGTCAGGGATCCACCCAGGTTTTAGGGACCCTCCCCCAGATTTTGGGGACCCCCGAATTTGGGGTCCCCCCTCACCAGGATGTGGCTGCCGTCCTGCGAGCGCCCCGAGTAGAGCATGGTGGTGGGGGTCAGGCGCACCGAGGGCTGGTTTGGGGGGAAAAAAGGAGATTTTGGGGTTTTTTTCTGATTTGGGGAGGGGGACCCCAAATTTGGGCTGAAATTCATCCCAAAACGGAGCCAAAATCCCAAAAAAATCCCGTCAAAAAAGCCCTAAAATGGTCGCAAAATGGGCCAAAAATGATCGCAAAATCCCGTTAAAATTCACCCAAAATCCTCCCCAAAATGGCCCCGAAATTCCCTAAAAATGGCCCCAAAATTCCCCCAAAATTCCCCTTGAAATGGCCTCGAATTCCTCCCCAAATTCCTCCTCAAAATGGCCCCAAAATCCCCCTAAAATTCCCCCAAAATCCACCCAAAATCCCAACCAAAATGGCCCCAAAATCGCTTCTCAAATGGCCCCAAAATGGCCCCAAATCCCTGGGGAATTTGGGGAGGGGTCTCCCCAATTTGGGGAGGGGTCTCACCCTCTCTGTGACCTCATCAATGACCCTAAAATCCCCCCTAAATCCCCCCCAAATGGCCCTCTCAGGACCCCCTCCCCAATAAGAGACCCCAAAAACCTCCAAGGACCCCAAAAATCCTCTCAGGGACCCCCAAAAATCCCCTCAGGGACCCCCAAAAATCCCCTCAGGGACCCCCAAAAATCCCCTCAGGGACCCCCAAAAATCCCCTCAGGGACCCCCAAAAATCCCCTCAGGGACCCCCAAAAATCCCCTCAGGGACCCCCAAAAATCCCCTCAGGGACCCCCAAAAATCCCCTCAGGGACCCCCAAAAATCCCCTCAGGGACCCCCAAAAATCCCCTCAGGGACCCCCAAAAATCCCCTCAGGGACCCCCAAAAATCCCCTCAGGGACCCCCAAAAATCCCCTCAGGGACCCCCAAAAATCCCCTCAGGGACCCCCAAAAATCCCCTCAGGGACCCCCAAAAATCCCCTCAGGGACCCCCAAAAATCCCCTCAGGGACCCCCAAAAATCCCCTCAGGGACCCCCAAAAATCCCCTCAGGGACCCCCAAAAATCCCCTCAGGGACCCCCAAAAATCCCCTCAGGGACCCCCAAAAATCCCCTCAGGGACCCCCAAAAATCCCCTCAGGGACCCCCAAAAATCCCCTCAGGGACCCCCAAAAATCCCCTCAGGATCCCCCCCAGGGACCCCAAAATCCCACTCCGGGGCTCCTTTTCCCCTCAGAATTCCTCAAAAAAAATTATATTTAAATATCCAGGATCCCCCTTTCCCCTCAGAGTTCGCGCAAAAACTGCTCTGAGATCCCTTTTTCCCCTCAAAATCACCCCAAAAAAACTGTCAAAAAACCAATTTTCTCCTCAGAGTTTTCCCAAAATAAAACCTCAAAATGTCCAGAATCCCAAAAAAGAGGGATTTAAGTCTCCAGAACCCCTTTTTTACCTCAAAATCTCCCCTTAAACTGCCCCAGAGCCACTTTTCCCCTCATAATAAACACTCAGAAACACCAAAACCCCCCCAAAAAAGAGGATTTAAGTCTCTGGAACCCCTTTTTTTCCCTCAAAATCCCCCCAAAAACTACCCCAGAACGAAAAAGAGGATTTAAATCTCCGGAACCCCTTTTTTACCTCAAAATCTCCCCTTAAACTGCCCCAGAGCCACTTTTCCCCTCATAATTTCCCAAAAATAAACACTCAGAAACACCAAAACCCCCCCAAAAAAAGAGGATTTAAGTCTCTGGAACCCCTTTTTTCCCTCAAAATCCCCCCAAAAACTACCCCAGAACCACTTTTCCCCTCAGTGTTTCCCCAAAATAAAAATTAAAAAGGTCCAGGACCCCTTTTTTCCCTCAAAATCCCCCCCAAAACTGCTCCGGGACCCCCTTTTCCCCTCAGAGTTCCCCCAAAATAGAAACTCAGAAGGTCCAGGATACCCCTATAAGGGGATTTAAGTGTCCGGAACTCCTTTTTTCCTTCAAATTCACCCCAAAACCGCTTCAAAACCCCCTTTTCTCCTCAGAAATCCCCCCAAAACCAGGATCCCCCCCAGGGACCCCAAAAATCCCCTCAGGGACCCCAAAAATCTCCTCAAGATCCCCAAAAATCCCCTCAGGATCCCCCCCAGGGACCCCAAAAATCCCCTCAAGATCCCCAAAAATCCCCTCAGGATCCCCCCCAGGGACCCCAAAAATCCCCTCAGGGACCCCAAAAATCTCCTCAAGATCCCCAAAAATCCCCTCAGGATCCCCCCCAGGGACCCCAAAAATCCCCTCAAGATCCCCAAAAATCCCCTCAGGATCCCCCCCAGGGACCCCAAAAATCCCCTCAGGGACCCCAAAAATCTCCTCAAGATCCCCAAAAATCCCCTCAGGATCCCCCCCAGGGACCCCAAAAATCCCCTCAAGATCCCCAAAAATCCCCTCAGGATCCCCCCCAGGGACCCCAAAAATCCCCTCAGGGACCCCAAAAATCTCCTCAAGATCCCCAAAAATCCCCTCAGGATCCCCCCCAGGGACCCCAAAAATCCCCTCAAGATCCCCAAAAATCCCCTCAGGATCCCCCCCAGGGACCCCAAAAATCCCCTCAGGGACCCCAAAAATCTCCTCAAGATCCCCAAAAATCCCCTCAGGATCCCCCCCAGGGACCCCAAAAATCCCCTCAAGATCCCCAAAAATCCCCTCAGGATCCCCCCCAGGGACCCCAAAAATCCCCTCAGGGACCCCAAAAATCTCCTCAAGATCCCCAAAAATCCCCTCAGGATCCCCCCCAGGGACCCCAAAAATCCCCTCAAGATCCCCAAAAATCCCCTCAGGATCCCCCCCAGGGACCCCAAAAATCCCCTCAGGGACCCCAAAAATCTCCTCAAGATCCCCAAAAATCCCCTCAGGATCCCCCCCAGGGACCCCAAAAATCCCCTCAAGATCCCCAAAAATCCCCTCAAGATCCCCAAAAATCCCCTCAGGATCCCCCCCAGGGACCCCAAAAATCCCCTCAGGGACCCCAAAAATCTCCTCAAGATCCCCAAAAATCCCCTCAGGATCCCCCCCAGGGACCCCAAAAATCCCCTCAAGATCCCCAAAAATCACCTCAGGATCCTCCCAAGGGACTCCCCCAAATAAGAGACCCCCAAAACCTCCCCAGGGACCCCAAAATCCCACTCCGGGGCTCCTTTTCCCCTCAGAATTCCTCAAAAAAAATTATATTTAAATATCCAGGATCCCCCTTTCCCCTCAGAGTTCGCGCAAAAACTGCTCTGAGATCCCTTTTTCCCCTCAAAATCACCCCAAAAAAACTGTCAAAAAACCAATTTTCTCCTCAGAGTTTTCCCAAAATAAAACCTCAAAATGTCCAGAATCCCGAAAAAGAGGATTTAAATCTCCGGAACCCCTTTTTTACCTCAAAATCTCCCCCTAGACTGCCCCAGAGCCACTTTTCCCCTCATAATTTCCCAAAAATAAACACTCAGAAACACCAAAACCCCCCCAAAAAAAGAGGATTTAAGTCTCTGGAACCCCTTTTTTCCCTCAAAATCCCCCCAAAAACTACCCCAGAACCACTTTTCCCCTCAGTGTTTCCTCAAAATAAAAATTAAAAAGGTCCAGGACCCCTTTTTTCCCTCAAAATCCCCCCAAAAACTACCCCAGAACCACTTTTCCCCTCAGTGTTTCCTCAAAATAAAAATTAAAAAGGTCCAGGACCCCTTTTTTCCCTCAAAATCCCCCCCAAAACTGCTCCGGGACCCCCTTTTCCCCTCAGAGTTCCCCCAAAATAGAAACTCAGAAGGTCCAGGACACCACTGTAAAAGAATTTAAGTGTCCGGAACTCCTTTTTTCCTTCAAATTCACCCCAAAACCGCTCCAAAACCCCCTTTTCTCCTCAGAAATCCCCCCAAAACCGCTCCGGGACCCCCTTTTCCCCTCATAGTTCCCCCAAAATAGAAACTCAGAAGGTCCAGGATACCCCTATAAGGGGATTTAAGTGTCCGGAACTCCTTTTTTCCTTCAAATTCACCCCAAAACCGCTTCAAAACCCCCTTTTCTCCTCAGAAATCCCCCCAAAACCGCTCCGGGACCCCCTTTTTCCCTCAGAGCTCCCCCAAAATAGAAACTCAGAAGGTCCAGGATACCCCTATAAGGGGATTTAAGTGTCCGGAACTCCTTTTTTTCTTTCAAATTCACCCCAAAACTGCTCCAAAACCCCCTTTTCTCCTCAGAAATCCCCCCAAAACCGCTCCGGGACCCCCTTTTCCCCTCAGAGCTCCCCCAAAATAGAAACTCAGAAGGTCCAGGATACCCCTATAAGGGGATTTAAGTGTCCGGAACTCCTTTTTTCCTTCAAATTCACCCCAAAACCGCTTCAAAACCCCCTTTTCTCCTCAGAAATCCCCCCAAAACTGCTCAGGGACCCCTTTTTCCCTTTAATCCTCCTCTATTCCCACCTCTCCGCCCTCCCTTCTCCCCAGCCCCGTGTCCCAAACATAACCCCGGTGTCCGGACACTCCCTTTCCGCCTTAATTTTCCTACGAAAACCCTTCAATTTTACCCCAAAATTCCTTAAATTTATCCCAAAAATTCCCTCAAATGTTCCCCCTCACCAACCAGCGGCCCCGGGGCCTCCCCGACGCCTCCCCCGGGTTCGGCTTGTAATGGACTCGCCCGTTCCCGCCCCTCCCGTTGTTTCCCCCCCCACTCCGCGCGTTCCCCTCAGGGTGGTAAGGTCCGGCCGCACTGCGCACGCGCGGGAGCCTGAGGGGGAGCGGCGGGAAAGCGGCGCCCCCTAGCGGCAGAGGTATGAGGGGACTCGGTTTTTTTTTGAGGGAAAAATAAAAGGTTTTGGGATTTTTTCTGACGGGAAAAGGGGCTCCCAGTGCATCCATAGGTTTTTTGGGGGGAAAGAAAGGGATTTTTGGGATTTTTCCTGAGGGGAAAAAGGGACCCCCAAGCTCCAAATCCAAAGTTTTTGGGAAATTTTGAGGGGGAAAGGGGCTCCCAGTACATTAACAGGTTTTTTTGGGGGAAAGGGATTTTTGGGATTTTTCCTGAGGGGAAAAAGGGACCCCCAAGCTCCAAATCCAAAGTTTTTG